GGGCACGGCCCAGCCCCTGGAGCCCACCCCACACTGACCACTGCAGACAGAGGGGGAAATCACTGCAGGGCCACAGACCGCGGGCTTCCTTCACCTGCACACTCCCCGCAGTCTGTTTACGGGACGCGCACACATGCACACACACTCAGGGTCCAACACACTCATGTCTTATGCTCAGGAATGTTTGGCCTGAAGGCAGTGGTGCGCGGGACAGTGTCCCTGCTCACCGAGCGCCGGCCACGCAACTGCCGGAAAAGAGAAAGCAACGTTTCCCTTTGTCTTTTTCTGTGGCTCCCAAAGTCCACTCTGTCCTTCCTGCAGCATTGGCAGCAGCTGGGGTCAGGGTGTAAGAAGCAGGCAGCTGGCACTTCCGACTCTGCCCAGCTGCACGGGCTGGTGCCGGGGCACAGGGCAGGCGTGTGTGTGTGTGTGCATGTGCACACGTGTGTGTGGGGGGGGCTTGGCTGGAGCCGGGCAGGCGTCAGGTGGTGCCGGGTTAAGATGGCAGCTCTGACGGTTCAGACTCAAGGGCATTCAGTTCAGGGGTGTGTGTGTGCATGCGTGTGTGCATGCGTGTATGTATGTGCGTGCACATGTGTACATGTGTGTGCATGTGGGATGCAGATGTGTGTATGTAGCAGGTGTGTGTTTTGGATTGAGCATGTGTACAGGATACAGGAGTACATACAGCGTGGGAGTGTGTACATTCAGGGTGTGTTGGTTTGGTATGTGTGTGTCTGATACAGGCAGGTGTGTTTGATTCGGGAGTGTGTCACACTACAGGTGTGCAATACGGCATATTGCATGGAGCCAGTGTGTCTTCTTATGGACGTGGTGGAGGTCTGCACCTCGCAGGGGTCAGCGAGCCGCCATTTCAAGTGGGCACAGAATGCCACTGGTTTCCCTCAGGTTCCTGTGTGTTTGTGTGATGTGTGTTTGTGTGATGGTGGGGAATGTCTGAAGTGTGTCAGCCGGCGTGTTTGTGTGATGGTGGGGAATGTCTGAAGTGTGTCAGCCGGCGTGTTTG